TGATGATTCAAAGGAACACACATTCTTGATCATCAACTCTATTGAACATTGTGTGAAATTTATCATTCTATTGAGAAGACTAAGTGATTAACCTTTTTTGGGGAAGCGTGGATGATAAGTGAAAGAAGAGGGAGCACTATGGTACTAGTACTGGTCCTACTACTTCACGCTACTCTTCAACAACGTTGTGTGCTTTTTTCCATGTGATCTCACACTTATGTTGCGTATGAAACTGTACATATACCCATTTCTATGTTTATGTTTGTACCTACGTATCATCATTACCTTCCTCTCTCAACGGACAAATCTGTATTTTGCTGGAACCAATTATCTGTAACCTGGGTGCTTATCTTTTGACAATGCCAAAAAGCTTGAGCTTTTTCATTTGTCAATATTCTTACACACTTTTTCTCTAAACAATTTATTTGGTAAATGCATATACTTTAACTCCCATGAGCATTGTCAAATGAACCAAAATTTTGTGTATAGTCTACTGTGGTATTAGTGTTTTAAAAAAAAAGTCTACTGTGGTATTATCTTATATATATGTGGTTTGATAAAATACTTGTTTTTGTGCAACATATGAGGTAACTTGATCAATGGTGTAAAGTTACTTTTTATACTTACTATTTTCAAAACTCTAAATTTTGATACTTATAAAAATTCACATCTGAGGATTTAACAACTGTATTTTACATATATATATATATATAATATATTATAAGTATTAAATAATGAAATTCCATTAAATTTTATTATAAATGGTAAAATGTACTAAGATTTAAAGGTATATGTAGTTTTGGATAACACCATTTTTGGTGAGGTATGTAACTAATCCTAGTTGAGTAATATTCAACTTATAAATCTCCAAGATATAATTTACAAACAGCATATCTAATTATACAAGATTTTCAAGCATAAGCTTGAATGAACTATTGAATAACCATGGTTGAATATGAAATAATGCTAATTATATATGTTTTCAAACTTTGTTTGGTACTCCCTGCAGTGCCGGTCCTGAGTTTTATGGCGCCTAAAGCGCAACAATTAGTTGATGCCCGCTAACAATTAAAAAAAAATTGAAACAAAAAAAATTCAAAATTGTATTTTTACAATAACAAAGTTCTATCAAAAATGCAAAAGTTAACATAAAAAAGTTTCATCAAAAAAAGCTTACAGATTGATCTAAGAGATTAAGTAATGATTCTTAAATTTTCTGCATTCAACTTGTTACTTGAAAATACCACTAAATTTAGATTACATCAATTTGTCTATTTAGTTGAGTTCTTACTTTGTTTCACGTAACACTTTCTACAAAAACTATGAAAATTAGAATAACTTGACATTTACTTTTAAAGTGAAAAACAAATACATAATTAGTAATTACAACAGAAGACATAGTCAAAAAAAAAAAAAAGACAACAAGACAACTATCACTGTGAAATCTGTTTATTTTGTAAATTTTACTGAATCTTTCGGTTGTCAAAACATGAGAGTCCAAGAGAGAATCTAAACCCCACAAAAAATTTCGCACTTATTCTTTGTTTTTTTAAGATAAAGAAAGAAATATTTGAGTAGTAAGATAACAAAACGGTAAAGATCTACTGTGCAAGAAGAGAATCCAAAAGTTGTTGAAACTATTAACAGAAAATAAAAAAAAATGAAAGAAGAAGAAAGATGAATCTGTGGTAAATGAATGCTATTTAGAAAAAGAAATTAGGTTTTTATTGTATTTTTTATAGCATATCATAAAATATATAAAAATGGAAACTAAGAGTATAATTGGTATTTGCTGTAGATGCTGTCCAAAGCAAAAAATTATAGCTGCAGCCTTAAATGTACAGCAATCATCTTTCATTAATTTTAATAAAGCCCTAAATCTACAGCAATCACCCTTAATTAATTTTTAGAAACTCACAGTCTTTTAAAGCTTTATGTATGTGTGTATGTGCTGTAGAAAGACAAAATCCTAGAGAAAATTTTATGTGCTTTCCAAACCTTTAATTAACAGTTCAAAGCTTTAATCCTAGAGCAAAAATTTTAAAACTACAGTCATTACCAATCAAACCCTAAGATTGTCAATAAAGGAAGCAAAATCTGCCCGCTTTTTCAGTCACCAATAAAAAAAGACAGAAGGATCAAACCTGCATTGATTCACCATTACAAAAAGAACTTAGACCACTATACCCGTAAGAATGTCAATGTTTCTGGCGCCCCTAAATTATATCTACATTTTGGCGCTCCAAACACCAGCTTTACGGCCTTTAGCTCAGGGCCGACCCTATCTCCCTATAATGCATGTATCATAAGAGCCAAATTTGCAGAAGCGAAATAGTTTTAAAAGGAAGATTCATATAGACAGCCAAAATTTAGTGTAAAGCTATACGTCAACTAATCAAGTTTTTAAAAAGAAAATAACAGGAAAATGTTTTTTTTTGAAAATTAAAATATAATTGTAGAGAGCTTTATTTGCAAATCAAAAAATATATTTTAGAAAATTAAAATGTGATTGTACAGAACTTTATTTCAGGAGCACAAATAGTGTTTTACAAATCTACAACAAATAAGTTACAACAAATAAATCTACACCTAAAATCACATAGATATCATCTATTATTTTTAAAAACATATAATTAAAATGATATGATTCAAATTTAAATACTAAAATCGTTATATTTATTTTCAATAAACAATAAACCATCCGACCTTAAAATATGTTGCAAAAGCTAGAGTTTCAAGTTTTCAAGGACAATAATATCTAATAACCAAATTTTATCACTTTTGATGTCTTATAAACTCCGCTTGGCCGAAAGGCCGGCTCTGCAGACGTCGCCATTTTCCAATCTCATTTCGTTTGAAACTGTTTGTAAGCTTTTTCTTTATTTTTCGTTGTCAATTCAATATGTATTCATCCGCTTGCTTGATGGGAAGACCGGTGGAAAACGTTTTTTAAAATATAAAAAGATGGGTTTAGAGAGAAATTTTGTAATATGATATATATATTTCACATATATGATATATGTTTTCTAAAAAAATATATAAAAGATATTAGAAGAATCTAAACCAAAATTAGGAGTAATGGTAGGATAGTTAATCTACACTCAATTTTCTCAGAGGACATAATTTAGGGTAACTTAAACAGATTTTTATCCCCTTATTTTTTTAAAGGATGAATATTACACCCTCAACTTTAAAAAGACACTATTAAGCCACTTAAAACACTATTCACATTATAGTCTAATCTTTACAATTATATACGTCTCACAATCACATGAATAACTTTTTAGATACCATATTTTAGTATTTGTTGTTATATTTATTTAAAATATTTTGATTAAAAATATTATTAACAATTCTTATATTGTTTATGTTATATTTGACTACGTATTATTATATTTTATCAGAAATATTTTAGTTTAATATCTTTCAAATAGTGTGTGTTTATTGATTTTTGAAAGTTTAATGATTATATTTAGTTATTAATAATACTATGTAATATAAAAAGTTTAAAGAAAATAGATAAGAATCACCGATGAAGAACAAACCTTTTATTTTGGGAAAATTTTCATTTAAATCACCAACTTTCAAATTGGTTGAAATAAAGCACCAATTTTCTCATAAGCCAAAAAAAAACACTCAACTTTTGTTGACAAGCCATTTTAATGACAAACTTTCCTCGACCGTACCAATTTAGTCATATTGTTAGTCAACAGTTATAGTTGACTAATGATAGGCCTAAAATGGCTTTCAAAGTTGATGTTTTTTTGGCAAAAATATAAATCAATATTTTTTTACAATATTGGATATATTTTAAATATTGAAAATATTTTTATAAGTGAAGCACTAATAAAAAAATTATAAATAAAAAAAATCCAATAAAATATAAATAAAACTCAATGTAAAATAATTACTTAACATATATTAATTGAGTATCTTAGTTATAAAATGATAAGAATATTTTAATTATTTACCATTAATTTTTGTAAATATTTATATAATCCTATTTGAATTATGTTTTATAATTTTATCTTCAAAAGTTTGTTGATGAAATATTAATTCAACTCTTGATTCTTAAATGAAAAGAGTTACCGGTTAATGAACTATTCATGATTCTTTATATTTATAGTAAAGATCATCAAAAAAATCTATATAGTTTCTATAAAAATTTTACAAGAGGTTTTCTGCATTTAAAGAAAAATAAGTTTCACCAAAATCGATAACTCTTTTTGTTATCCGATAACTCATTTTGTTTAAAAAATCAAGAATTGAAGTAATATTTCACTAACAATTTTTTTACAGTACAATTATTTTTTACAGTAAAAATAAGTTTCACTAACAATTTCACCATATATGAATGTTTTTTAAAACAATATATAAAAGAAATTAGAAAAATCTAAACCAAGATTAGAAGTAATGGTAGGATAGTTAATCTACACTCAATTTTCACAGATGACACAATTTAGAGTATCTTAAACAGACTTTTATCACTTTATTTTTTAAATGATGAATATTACACCCTCAAATTTAAAATGATACTATTAAGTCACAACATTATTCACTTTATATTATAATCCTTACAATTATATATGTCTCACAAAATAACTTTTTATATACCATATTTTAATATTTATCATTATATTTACATTAATATATTTTGATTAAAAAACATTATTAACAATTTTTATACTGTTGATAGTTATATTTGACAATATATTATTATATTTTATCAAATATATTTTTAATATCTTTCAATAATGTGTTTTATTGGGTTTCAAAAATTCAAAGATTATATTTAGTTATTAATAATACTGAGGACTGGTGTAATATATAAAAAGTTTGAAGAAAATATATAAGTATTACCAATAAAGAACAAAATCCTTTATATTTTTATTTTAAAGATGTTACCTTGCAAAAATCCCAATCACTATAAATACCTCACTGAGCCTTTCCATTTTAGTTCATCAAGTTCTAATATCACTACTACTATACTACCAAAACAAATGGTTTCTATCAAATCTCTCTCAACTATCTTTTTTCTCTTACTCGGCATTGGCATTTGCTACGCCACTAGCCGGAATCTCTTAACACACGGCGAAATCCCGGCTGGTCATGGTGGTGGCGGTGGTGGTGATGGTTATGGAGTGATTGGTGGTGGTTATGGCAGCGGAAGTGGAGAAGGTGGTGGTGGTGGATATGGAGGAGTTGAAGGGTATGCCACTGGTGGTGGTGGTGGTCACGGTGGTGGCGGTGGTGGAGCTTCTTCTGCAGGTGGATACGCTAGTGGAGGTGGAGAAGGTGGTGGTGGTGGATATGGAGGAGCATCTGGTGGATACGGTGGTCATGCTGGCGGTGGTGGTCGTGGTGGAGGCGGTGGTGAAGCTTCTTCTTCCGGTGGGTATGCTAGTGGAGGAGGAGAAGGTGGAGGTGGTGGTTTCGGTGGAGCATCTGGTGGTTGTGGTGGCCATGCTAGTGGCGGTGGTGGAGGTAGTGGTGGTGGTGGTGGAGCTGCTTATAGTGGTGGAGATCATGCTAGCGGTTATGGAAGTGGTGGTGGTGAAGGGGCTGGTGGTGTAAGTGGTGGACATGCTGGTGGGGGAGGTGGTGGAAGCGGAGGCGGTGGAGGATCAGCATACAGTGGTGGAGATGAGCATGCTAGTGGTTATGGAAGTGGAGCTGGTGAAGGTGGTGGCGCAGGTGGAGGTGCTGCTGGAGGTGGAGGCGGTCATGGAGGCGGAGGAGGATCAGCAGGTGGAGGGGCTTATGGAGGTAGTGCTTATGGAGGCGGTGAAGGAGGAGGAGCTGGAGGTGGGCCAGGAGCTGGAGGCTATGGAGGCGGTGGCGGTGGAGGAAGTGGGGGAGGAGGAGCTTACAGGGGAGGTGGAGCTCATGGAGGTGGTTATGGAAGTGGTGGTGGTGAAGGAGGTGGTTATGGTGGTGCTGCAGGGGGATATGACAGTGGTGGTGTAGGTGGTTCAGGTGGAGGCGGCAGCCAATATGGTGGTGCTTACGGTAGTGGTGGTTCAGGCGGTGGACACGGTGGTGGAGGAGGCTATGCTCCATGAAGATACTATTAGAGTCCCACATCGTGTATTCATGATGTCTTTGGGCATTATATAAGTGTATGGGTAAACCTCCACTCTTGAGCTAGCTTTTGGGTGTGAGTTATGCCCATCACTAATATGGTATCAGAGCCCATGGTTTGGCCCAGCATTATGATTTCCCACATAAACAGTTTCCTACCTATGTAGCCTGTAAAAGTGGCCCATATGCTGTGGTATTTCCGAGATGTTGGGCTTGGGCTGTTTCCCTATGGACCGTTTCCCACCCACATCTCGAGGGGGCCTATTAGAGTCCCACATCGTGTATTCATGATGTCTTTGGACATTATATAAGTGTATGGGTAAACCTCCACTCTTGAGCTAGCTTTTGGGTGTGAGTTAGGGCCATTACTAATAGATACCAACTCCATATAAACCCAAAAGTTGATTTGTGGGAGGCAGAGGGGTATACAAATTATAGAAATTAACAATGGCTTTGGTTGAAAACATTTTGTATCCATTATTGAAAGTTGTATTTCCAAATCACTGAATATTTGTTGTCTTGCAATTTATATCATTAAAAAGCTTTAATAAAATCAATAAGAGTCATTATATAAGAAAGCTATCCCACGCTTTCATCTGATGATCTGATTGCCGTTGAGGGAGCTTCCTGTGAAGTTTGGATCTTCTGATGTTAGAGACTTTCTTCCTCTTCACCTTAAGACCCAAAGCTGCAGTAAGCAATCGAGATCCAAATGAAGAACAAGGCCTACTCCTGAGGTACGAAACAGCATGTTTTTACTCCTTAGGATCAGCACCAACAAAGCTTCTAGACGGCTTTCTTTTTCTTATTTTGCAAATGCGCACGTCGAATCTGAAACGTTCCTGTTACATAAATCGTACTCAGACTCAGAATCTTTCAATGTTTCTCCTATCTTTTTACTTGGTATCTCTTTCCACATGTTCACTATATTATTCTTAAACTGAGACTAGAGTAGTATAGTACCTTGGGGTAACAAATTTGGTTCTTGAATCTTAAGATTCTTCACCAATGATAGCTCTCTCCGCAGCTGTACATATAATCACACAAACACACATAAGAGTTAAGTCTCAACTGAGAATCTAATAAACCCTCTCATGTTAGTCTCTTGTCTAGTCTAGGTTCTATTTCAGTTCTCATCTTTGATAAAAGGAGAATATCTATGAATACAAGATAGTACCGTTACGTTTTGGAGACGAGACTTTCTCTTGAATCACATAAGGGTCATCGATGGTAGCAAATGGTTTCTCAGAGTCACCAACCTTCAGTGACTCAAACGGCAAAAGTTCGTCATCACCCGGGATCGATACTCCCACCGAGCCTGTTATGGGAACTAAAGAGAAACGAGATTGTATTACAATGAATGAGAATAAACAAGACTAGAGAGAATTTCTCTTAGAGATCTGATAGATTGATGAGAGTATAGAATTGGAAGAAATATTATTGACTCTCATGCAGAATATATTACAATATGCATATGCTTATATAGAGATGCATAAAGCTAATTCCTAAACCAATATGAAATATTACATTATAGATAATGATAAGTTTCCTATTCTAATATATTGATGTATATCTTGATCTTAGATTTGGGTCGATCTTCTAGATCTCCCATTAAGATCTATCTCTTCCCTTTACAAATCTGATCAAATCTCTTGTATGGCCTTCTTCCGTTCCCAAGAACTCTCATAGAAATCCCTTCCACTGAATCAACACCTCCTCTTGTCCTGAAGCTGGACAAACCCGTGAACCCAATACCGCTTCTGGTTGAACCTCCAATACCCCTTCTGTTGTGAGTTGAGGAGGTAATGGAGCCACTGGTTGATCATCTCCAACGGCTTTCTTCAGCTGAGATACGTGGAAAGTGTGATGCATCTTGGCTTCCTCTGGCAATTGGAGACGATAAGCTACCTCTCCCACTTGTTCATTACTTCAAATGGACCATAGAAATGCACAGACAGCTTCTCATTAGCGCACAAGTGATTGCTGACGATAAGGCCTGATCTTAACATATACTTTATCTCCCACTGCAAATTTCACCTCTCTTCTATGTCCATCAGCCTGTTTCTTCATCACTTGCTGAGCCTTATGAATATGCTCCCTCATGAGAGCCAGCATCTCATCCCTTTCAATCAGTCTACTCTCCAGGTCAGCATTAGCAGTCGAGCCAGATTCATACTTAATCAAAGCAGGTGGATCGCGGCCATTTACCGCCTTGAATGGCGTCATCATAATAGCAGAGTGAAATGATGAATTGTAACATAGTTCTGCCCACGGTAAGTAACAAGCCCATGCCTTTGGCTTGTCACTGGTAAAACAACACATTTAAGTTTCTAGACCACGATTGGTCACCTCGGTCTGCCCATCAGACTGTGGATGATAGGTAGTGCTCTTACAAAAGGTAGTGCCTGAGAGTCAAAGCAGCTTCTTCCAAAACTGACTAGTGAACACCCGATCTCTGTCAGAGACTATTGATTTCGGAAACCCGTGTAACTTGATCACCTCCTGTACAAATAAGAGCAACTCCAATGTATTACTCCATTTTCTACTCCAAACTCCAAAATGCAGTTGAGTTTTACTCCAAAGTATTACTTCATTTTCTACTCCAAAAAAATATTTCTAATGTATTATGTTTTATATTTATTTTAAAATTAGTAATATCACCTTTCATTTATACTATTTGAAAAACAGTCCATTTTCCATATATAGCATTTCTATTAAATACAATATTAACCACAATTAATTTTTTATTATAAAAAATAAAATTACTCAACAAGGTTTCAAAAGAAAACATTTATTACATTAAAAAATACATTACATAGCTTAAACACAATAATACATCAATTCTAAATTATTTATGTATAATAATATATTATTAAAAACGAGGCTATTTATATAATTAAGAAATATTAACAGTAAATTTTATAATATATATAGTAAAATAATATTAATATACTTATTTATAATAATATTTTATTAAAACGAGGCTATTTATATAACTAAGAAATATTAACATTTAATTTTATAATATATATAGTAAAATAATATTAATGTACTTATTTATAATAATATTTATTAAAAAGGATGTTTATATAATTAAGAAATGTTAACAGTAAATTTTATAATATGTATAGTAAAATAATATTAATATACTTATTTATAATAATATTAAAAATGAGGCTGTTTATATAATTAAGAAATGTTAACAGTAAATTTTATAATATATATAGTAAAATAATATAATAATATTTATTTATAATAATATTTTATTAAAAACGAAACATATATAAATGTGGAGGACCATTTGATAAAAAAAAAGTTCAACTCCATTTTGGAGTAATGAGTTGGTTTACTACATATTTGGAGTAATCATGTTTGTTACTCCATTTTGGAGTAGGGTTGGAGATGATTTTACTGCAAAATAGAGTTTGGAGTGGGTTTTGAAGTGGGGTTGGAGATGCACGCTACTCTGTCGCGGTAAACGGATGATGCAGACTGATGAAGTGAGCATATTTTGATAGTCTATCCACTACTACGAACATTGCATTATACCCCTCAGATCTTGGTAAACCCTCCACATAATCCATGGCCACTTCTTCCCATACTGCATTTGGAATGTTCAGTGGTTGTAGCAATCCTCCTGGAGCCAACGTGGAATACTTGTGGCGTTGACACACAGAACATACTGCTTGATATCATTCATCATTCCCACCCAGTAGAACATCTCAGGGACTCTCTTTGGAGTACGGTGAACACCTCCATGTCCCCCCCCATACGTCCATCATGTAGCTCTCGTAAGACTACCCCAATCAACTTAGACTCCTTAGGCAGTACTAACCTTCCCCGACGTAATAGCTTTCCTTGAACCATGGTATAGTCTGGATGGGTCATAGGATCAGCCACAATCTCCCTCACGATTTTCTGTAAAGCTTCATCTCGGGTTAACTCAGCCTCTATATCTTGGAACTGTATTGCGGTCAGTATATACATTGCCATCAACTCTGCAGCCACATGTCTTCTAGATAACACATTTGCAGCCTTGTTCTCTAATCCAGGCTTGTAATGAATGTCAAAGTCAAACCCTAACAGCTTAGACAGCCACCTCTGGTACTCCATGTTGATCTCTTTTGATCTCTTCTCACAATGAACTTCCTCCCAAGTAGGTAGTGCCTCTATTTTTGTATGGCAAAGACAATGGCCATCAGCTCTTGCTCGTATACCGACTTCAACTGACGCTCAGACAGTACTTGGCTGAAAAATGCTATCGGTCTGTGCCCCTGTATCAGGACAGCCTCCAGTCCTTTCCCTGATGTGTCAGACTCAGCCACGAACTTCTCTGTGAAGTCTGGAAGTGCCATCACTGGTACCGATGGCATTGCCTGTTTGAGTTTGTCAAAAGCTTCTGCAGCTATCTCACTCCACACGAATATATCATTCTTCAAGAGAGCTGTCAGCGGTTTCGCAATCTCACCATATCCCTGAACAAATCAGCGGTAGTAGCCTGTCAGCCCAAGGAAGCCCCTCAACGCCTTGACATTCTTGGGTACTGGCCATTCCGTCATGGCTGTAATTTTCGTCTTATCAGCCTCCACTCCGTCTGCAGAGATCACATGACATAGGTATTCAATACTCGAGCAACAAAACTCGCACTTCTTCCTGTTGGCATAGAGCTGGTGTTGTTTAGCTTCTCCAACACCAGCTTCACATGCGTTGTGTGTTCCTGATAAGTCTTGCTGAACACGAGAATGTTATCGAAGAACACGAGCACGAAATGCCTCAAATACGACCTGAAAACCTCATTCATGACTGAATGAAACGTGGCAGGGGCGTTGGTCAGTCCGAAAGGCATTACTAGGAATTCGTAATGCCCATCATGGGTACGGAACACAGTCATCTGAACATCCTCTGCCTTGACCCTTATCTGATGGTAATCGGCTCGCAGGTCCAACTTAGAAAACACCACTGCTCCTCGTAACTCATCCAA